TGTGAGGGTGACAGAGCCCTGGGACAGGCTGCCCAGAGAGGCTGTGGAGTCTCCTTCTCTGGAGACTTTCCAGACCTGTCTGGATGCCTTTCTGAGTGACCTGCCTTAGTTGGTGTTTTTTGTGGGTTTTTTTTGTTTTGTTGTGTTGTGTTTTAGTTTTTTTGTTTGGTTTGGTTTTGGTTTGATTTTGGTTGGTTGATTGGCTTTTGTTGTTGGCTTTTTTTTGGTCCTGCTCTGGCAGGGGGGTCGGACTTGATGATCTTTGGAGGTCCCTTCCAGCCCCCAACATTCTGTGATTCTGTGAGTCATGAGGAAACTGGTTCCATGGTGACATGGCAGTTTCACAAATACCTGTGACAGTTAAAATTGCCCTATATTGTTCACGGACATGAGAATGTGTCACTGATGGTTACAAAGAGCTTTAGAAGCTCATGACCTTCATGGCCCAGCAGAGTTGGCTTAGATGAGTATTTGATTCCACCAGTATAGAACTGACACCCTCTTGACATTGCTTTGTCATTGTCCCAGCAGCCACCAACACATGCAGAAGAGATTGGCTTGTTCAGCTGACACGGTTTGGGACCTGCATGGTGTCCCTGCACTGGCAGAAAGGCCACATCCCTACAGGAGGGTTCTGTGGACACTCTCAGGAGAGCAGAGGAACAGTGAGGTCTTCATGGTGACAGTGAGAGTGTTTGGGCACTGGACACCCACAGCCACAGTGGGAAAACCAAATGAGCAGGCTGCCTTTTGTGGTGGTCCAGTGAGGGAAGGGATTTAGCTTCTCTACAGGGGAGGAGGATTACAAAATAGAAACCACTGCCCAAAGTGGTGGCCTTGCAGGAACCCAGAGGAGGAACTAGAAGGGAAATGAAGAGATGCCCTGGAGTGGCTGAAGAAGAGCTGATTCCAGGCCTGGGGCTCCCACATGCAGGAGCCACAATGCCATCATCACACCTCTGTAGACAAAATTCTTCGAAGAAGTCAGCTAGACTTGCTGGGAAGTGTGGCCCAGGTGGCACTGCAGGATTTGTTTTCCACAGAGCCTTTTGTTTCAGACAAACACCCTGCTGCTGAGCACCACCAGAAAACTGAGCCAGGCTGAGATCACATGTGGGGGCCTTCCTGCCATGGAGGCCAGGAGCCTGTCCAATCCCACAGAGCAGGCAGCCAGGGAGGACCTGCCTGCAGAGCCCAGGGACCCCAGGGCTGAGGGGTGAAACTCCCAGAGGGAATGAAGATAGATGGAATCAAGGCTGAGGCTTTGCTTGCCTTGCAGAGAAGGACTCATGGTACCCGGCTCTGAACAGGATTCATCTGGGATCCTCCCTGCTCTGACACCCCTTGCCCTGTGCTCCAGAGCCCAGCCAGATGCTAGGATGCAAACTCACAGCTCCAGGGGGATCAGGTCTCACCACCAATGTCCTGTACTGAACCCAGTCCCCCACAGTGCACAGAGTGGGGTCAGGAAGATGTCAGCCTGCATCCCTTGAGTGGTCACCATCTGCCCATCTTGCCTGAAGCATCTAGCTTATCCAGCTGGGGGCACGGGGAGGGTGGGAAGCTGCAGCACACCCAGCACAAGATGTTAACACCACCAACAGCAGGGCCAGCCTGGAAAGAAGGACCTAGCCAGGACCACCAGCCCACAGCACCTCTGCACTCCCTCTGCCTCCCTGCTCCAGCTCTTCTGCCACATGTGTCCACCCAAGCTCCCAGGAGATGTGGGGCAGAGACTCAGCAGGTCCCCTCCATCCCCATGCCCAGTTCAACCATGCTGTACCTCCAGCCTGGCTGTAAGCAGCTCCCCCCACCTTGAACCCACATGTTTCCCACCTCTGGAAGTTCTTGGCATCCTTTCTCCCCAGTTGTTGCTGAGGGATACTGGGGAAGTTGCAGGTGAAGCTCCTGGGAAGGGAGCATGGTACATGGACAGGAGCTGCCTGGACCACAAGGACCCCCTTGCACAGCCCTGTCCCATGGGGCTGGCCACACATGGCTGAGAGATGGGCAAGAGAGGTGACAGCTTGAGGTGCCCAAGGTGACAGAGCAAGGCTGACAGCCCCTGGCTTGAGGGAACAGCAGCGTGAGGCTGTGGTGCCAGGAACTGGCACGGAGACAGATGCGTCAGACTGGGAAACCACACAGAGCTTAAGGTCAGGGGAGACAATCATGAGGCACTGGTGACCTGCTAACCTAGGCACCACCAACATCTACCACCTCCATTCCCCTGCTCCTGCCATTCCTATGGTGCCTTCAGACCCAATGTTTGCCCACATTCCCAACTCCAGAGCAATCGTAACATTTCTGTTCCCCACAGGGACTAGAATAAAACTGAGAGGAGGAGAAGAGGCTGGAGAAAGAGCTGGAGACATCCTCGCTGATGCAGCTCACAGCAACATAGCCCAGCTTGGAGCTGCTTTTAGCTGAATGTTCTGGATGTTCTTGCAATATTCAAATATGGGTTTGGTGGAAATGTCAAGATTAATGCTGAAAAATCAGGCTTCTCTATCAGGGATAGAAACGTGCACAGACATTTGCAATGAATTCTCTCTTTTCCTGCTTCCATTCACCAACAAAAGAATTCTTGGAGGTTTTGACACCTCTGTTATTCCCCCAATTCACTTTTTTCCACAACTGTTCCTTCCTTGAAGAAAGATTTTGTATTTCAGTCTTGGCTGCCAAGACAAATAACGCAAATCGCTAAATATTTTGATTTCTGAAACCTCCTCCATATCATACATCCTAAATAGCAGCTATTTATGGAATCCATAAAAATTCTACCTTATGGCATGTTCAGCTTTCAAGAGAAACCACACAGTATATTTGGCTCCATCACCAGAACAGGTTTGGGATGCAGGAGGAAGCCTGTTCCACCACACTGATCCCTCAGCTGGAGTTGTGTCTGGGGGATCACATCATCCCAGTGCCCCTGGGAGCTACCAGATCCCTAAGGTGGGAAACCCTGGTTGAAACTGGGAGCAAATCAGCTGGGAAGAGAATGACTGGGGGAATTCAGAGATTGCTGGGTGCTGCAGATCCGAGGAAGACAGGGCAGATCTCAGAGGAGAAGAGTGCTTTTCCAGAGGAATCAAGAATTTCCAGCATGGGAATTGA